GAGCGCTCAGACTGACCTGAGATTTGCCCTGCAAACATTTCAGCAGTTATTATAGGCCTGTGTGTCCCGTATTTCTGTCGACTGAACCAGCCATGCCATTAATTATGAATTTATCAGTCTTTTGCACGCCAAAGTCAATTTCTGCGTATAAACATTACGCCAAATAGAAACAGAAAATCGTGCTATACACACTTTCATGAGATCGGGTTAGACTACAACAATTAATTTGTAGTCTATTTTACAAATGGGAATACAACGAATTCATGACAATGTTTTACATTCAAGCTACCTGTAAAATTTTAGTGTAACATTCATTAAAATAATCTGGAATGCAATAAAGTAATTTTTAAAGCTGTTTTTAAAGCATTTGCTGCATGGATTAAAAAAAATAGGCCAATAAATAATTCACATATAAGACAAAATTGCGTTGCAGCAAATCCTTTACATTTTAAGGTTTTCAGAGCAGAGCAACATAAAAATCTGAAAAAAATATAATCGGGCCTGTTTAAGGCTTTTATTTTCATTTTTATAGTTTAGATGGTGATGAAAAAATGACTCGCCATCTCCTCATTGGACGTGCCTTTAGAGAGAAATGCATCTTTACGGATTACATAATGAAAGAGTTTTTGTTTTCGATTTGAATTATTTTGTTTTAAAGTAGTAATTTAAAGCTTTCTGTAGATATATTTATCATATCTGTGACTCAATTTGTTGAGTTTCGGTTCATCATTGTGAAGCCTCCTGTTCGAGACGAGACGGCAAGCGCATCCTCTGTTTTCCTATTTATTTTATACAAGCACAACGTTTTGTTGATATTGTGAGTGCACACAAATAAAAGAAGACCCTTTACATTTCCCAATGTATTACTCTTACCTTTAGGAGCAAAAATTACGGCATATTTTAAGTTGTTTCCACTATCAAGAAAAAAATGCAAGTTAATGATCGCGCTGGCGCCTCCATGTGCTGCAAAGTGCCTTCAGCTTCCACTCTACACACAAACGATTAGATATGCGCCTAACAGCGCACATTTATATCGTTTAAACATTTAAACTAACATTGTGATATGCTTGAACTGTTTTATATCTATAGATTTTATTTTAGGCAAGTCGTGATGATTTGAGAAGGCTAAATTGATCAAACATAGGCTAAGATCAGCTCACTGTCTGCCGCTGGCCGCTACTTACAAAAAAACCTTACATTTAATGAACAAAAAATGCTCCAAACGTTTTTCTAAATTAACTTTATTAAAAATGAAACGAAATATAATCACTTTACCATTACATACACAATCCCCCCCCAATGAAAAAAATCCGGCAGTGCGAGTGAACGCGATGGCCAGTCACAGGTGTTCAAGAAATCAACACATATGTCTGTGATTGGCTACATTGCTGTGTCAAATGCGTGAGTCTCTCGCTGAATGCGTGCGTGAGAGTTGGCAGCTCTGTAATTATTATAATGTCTTTACCAGGTTGCTAGTTAGCCTATGAAATATTGTTGTCAGTTAATTAATAGCCTTGTAGATGAGGGCTATTTCCAGCCTTTGAAAATATGAAAATTATAAATAATTCATTATCTGTTTCAACCAGTCAGAGACAGAGCAGCAGAGCAAAAAGTCAGAACCAGACAGGTCAGGTGCAACACCTGAGAGGACAGAAGCCAGGACTAACAGTGATGATACGGACCAAGCTGAGGTGATGCCAGTTAGTGACAGTGAGACAGAAATAGAGCAGGAGCACCAGCCACAACCACGTCTGCCTTACCCCACAGATAGGGGATATTTTGATGAAAACATCTTAGATCCTACTATAAAACGTTACATCATTACTACAGGGTCTTGTAAACCTAGTCCCTTCCCCAGAAATCAGCAGAACCGTTGATTTTCAGAGGTGTTTTATTACAAAAAAACAAAAGCCGGCATTAAACTATCACGCAGCTGGCTTTGCTATTCCCCCAGATTGGATTGTG